CAATGAAAATAAAATCCCACAGTTAATATCACAACTTCAATCATGCCGGCCAAGCTCGGACGAGTAAAGTAGAGATTTGGATTTCACGGCGAGATTTCCGCAAAACCTAGCTGGCAGTCCCTCATAGTAATGCCATTACCATACCGGCTCTGTCGTCGCCCGGGTTACAAAGGTTCGTTTAGGCTGTTAGGAGACGGAAGCAAGCGGAGAAAAGCTGTCAGTCACCGCCTTCGGTAGCCGGAGGCGTAGAAGCACAACAGCGGCTGACGAAGATCGACGAAACGACGACGTAGATACTAATCAGCAACGGAACCGCTGCCCGATCTCAACAGATGAGGCAGACAGCGCGATGCCATAATAGCACGTCAGATAAGGCTCCACGGGAACGATGCCGACAAAAGAAGCTTACGGGCGGAAATTGGAAGGAAAGAGCTGTTGATGAGGGTGTAAAGTACTAACGCGACAGAGGAAGACTCACGTCCGAGAAGTACCTCAGCACTGGAATTCTTAACCTCTACTTGTGGAAGCCGTTCAATTCAGGTGCCAACATGACGACGCGCGCTAACGCTGGTGTCCGTGTTCTGGTAGAACTAAATCTGAATGATATAGTCATTGAATGGAAGCCTGTCACCGGAAGAACGGCAATCCGTCGACTGAAGTTACAACAGGCTATAGAATTGATCTTATTACAGGTTTATGCACCCAGTTTAGAGGGAGAATATGACTCCTTCTTTGAAAAAGTGGAAGGTGCTCTCTACGAAGTGCTGAATTTAGAGTCTTTCATTCTAATGGGCGATTTCAGTGCGCATGTAGGAGCAAATACTGAAAAGTGGACAACCGTGACTGGAACGAACGGCCCGTTAACCTCAATAATAACGTTATGAAATTGTCGCGGTTTTGTGCAAACAACGGACTGTCTGTTCTGAACACGTTCTTGGTGTATCGAAGCGAGCGTCAGTATCTTTGGTACAGGGAAGTTTCTGCACAGAATTCAATGATTGACTTGATAATCGTGTCGAGTGGATTATAACGCTCTGTAATAGACATTCGCGTTAAGATGGGTGCATAGCTGCCAAATGATCACACTTTATTGTTAGCTCGCTGCGTTTTCAGAAAAAGAGGACGATGTGAAGAGCCAGTGGCAGAAGTATCAGGAGGATCAAATGAGAAGCGTTATCTTCAGCGAATACGAGAACAAATTTGGCAAGAAACATCGCACGACAGTTTGAACTGGTCCCTGTGATGACCACTGATGTGGAAACCGTGTGGCAGCTCTTTAAAAACGGCATACTCGAGGCTGCCGCCGAATGCTGCAGATTTAAACGGGTTGGCCTGCCGCCTGGAGGTCAGTAAAAATCTTCCTGGTAGACACCAGAGGTGCAACTGACAGTTAAAGAGAAAATAGTAGCGTTCAAGAAATGGCTTGGAAAAAGGAGCCATCTACACGCGTGCAATATGTCGAGGCACGCAAGGCGGCAGCCATAGCAGTGGCAAAAGCCA